CAGTATCTCTTTAGAAACTGGCAAAGTACATATAAACACTTTTGAGTGCTTCTCATGAAAAAGTAGCTCCAAAAAAAAAAAAAAAAAATACTAGCAAGCATTTCCAAATAAACAAGAGTCCCTTTCAGGGGCTGGGAGCTTAGGTTTTTGGTTTTTTTGGGGTTTTTCATTTTTAATAATTTAGTCTTTGAAATAACCCAAGGTAAAGGTCACTTACCTCTTACATGGACTAGAAGGAAGCTAAGCCACAGAAGAAAAATGCTTCTGAATTTCTCCATGCTCTTTTATGCAGTGCCTTGATTGCACCAGCTGGTTTTTTCCAAACAGTGACAGTAGATGTTGCAACTGCAGTGTCAAGGTTTGAGGGAGACACTTGGAATCAGCAGCTCTGCCCCAAAAGGTTTCTCACCACCACACCCAAGCTCTGCAAGAGAGAGTAACAAAAAAAGGCAAGTAACAAAAACAAGCTACCCTGCTACAGCCAAGCTGTGAGCAGCACATTAGGTGCCACCTGTGCTCCAAGAAACTTATTTATCAGCCAGGCAGGAAGCACGGAGTGCCGGGGAAGCAGTGGTAGCACCCAATGGGGAGGGTGTCCGAGCACTCTGGATCCACCTCCTTCCCAGAGGGGAAAGCCAACCTGTTTGACATCCTTGCCTCCAACGTAGGGTGTGGTGCTGTGGGAGCTCGGGTAGCTTGGACTCTGAAGCATGCTTGAAAGAATCACTGACATCCTTTGTCCTCAAAGCAGCATTTTCCTGCCTATTTTTTGGCTCAGCAACAACAGCTGATAAAAGCAATCATGTCAGACTTAACCCCTCAGTCAGGCCACCAAATTAAGGAAATGGATGGAGGTTAGGAATCCACTTTTCAGCAACTTGGAATTGGCTACAGAGGGATGACAAAAAAACCTAGTTTTATAAATATAAAATGTGATGTTAGACTACTGAACTGAAGCATGCTCCGCTCCCCAGATGCTTATCTTCAAAGGTAAACATTTCCCATCATGACTGCTTCCATTGATCTAGATTGTTAGTGTTTTGTTTGGGTTTTTTTTTTAAATATAAATATCCATGCATATCCTTAGTCAGATAGTGCTGTGATCTATCTATCCATATATGGACTTACTTTTAAATTACTGATGTGATTAAAATCCAGTTTTGTTATAGCATCATAGCTATCTCAGGCGTCTCTCTAGCAAACACATGTGCCTACAGTCTTGTTCTTTGAACTGGATTGCAGCCATCTCCTTGGTGCCCAGCACCAGCAGGGTGATTGCATGCACCCTCCCTTGTGCTGGGGGATGAGCTGCAGGGGGTTTTGTCAGAGCTGTTTTCTCTAGGGCAGCAAACAGCTCAGGACTCTGCTACCATGAGTGGCCAATCTGAGCCTTGGTGGTGTTGCTGGGTGATTCAGTCTGATGTTGCTGCCCCCAACTGCATTTCTGTTGAGTTACCCAGAACATACAACTGAACTCATGTTTTTGTGTTAACTACAAAAACCAGATGCAACAACATAAGATGGACTGATAGAACTTGGTGGTACTGGATCCTCAAGAAGCTTGATGTTCAGCTGCCTCTCTCTCCCTTGCCTAAATTTGAACTAGCAAAATGGTTTATAAAGGTCTGGATTAAAGCTACTAATAGAAGCTCTAAAGTTCAATTTGGATATCATCATTCTCCATGTCAGGGCCAATTGCTCAGTCTCAGAAAAGTTAAGGATATTTAAGCCTGAAGAGGTGACTTTTTCAGTCAGTTAAAACAAGAACTATACCATGAAATGAGCAATCACACAAATCCACTGGTTGTATGTTTGTTTTTTTCCAGAATGCCAAAAGCAGGCCCACATGTGCTGATCTTCATACAAGTAATGAATTTGCCTGAAGGGAACAGGAATGTTGGCAAGGTTAGGTACTAGTCCCAGGCAGGTCTGAACAGCTTACAAATGTTCAGTGGCTTTACTTCAAAACAGTTTTTCCTGCGAGTGAAGTCTTCCCAAAACGCATTGTCTCACCTGCCTGCTGATACAACTTCATTGTGCTATTGAACATTCTCAGATGATGTTTGAAGACGATGCACATCTTGCTCAGTTCTTCTGAAGCCAGCTATTGCCCCGTCTAGCTCAATAACAGTATGAAAGTGGGTGGCACTGAAGGAGTGGATCTGGTGTAGGAGTCAGGATTTCTTGAATGCCTATCCCCCTCCTGTTCTTGGGAGCATTACAGGAACTTCCTAATCTCAATGTTGTCAAAAACATACAACAGCTTTCCCAAGATAGCAAGTAAAAAATACTGTATATTACAAAGTAATACATGAGCTAATACCTGACCATAAATAGCAGTTTTAGCACTTGAAAAATCATTGGACCATCCTTTTCTGCATAAGGAAAGCAAAGTTCTCTCTGCTATTCAACTGACAAGGTGGATGATTGCCTGTTTTTTCACTTGTCTTTTTAAGGAAAACTCCAATATTTTAGAAACTCAAATGGAGGTAGAAAAGGAGTCAGAGTATCTGTCTATTCCCTACATCACATACTTTTACCTCATCAGGCCTCTTTTAGGGGAGACAAGCTAAAAGGGAACAAGAGTTCAGTCACAACTCATGACAGTGTCAGCCACATCTTCCTAGGGGCAGAGGTCAGACATTGCTCTCTTTGGCGTGGGGTAACCTGCTGTATGTGTCTATTGGAGATGAAAGAACTGAATTATACACTAGAACTACTTGGGAATGCCACTAATATCCTACACTGCTCATCTTTTTTAATGAAAACAGAAGTACTTTAATTAAAATATCGAAGCATCCAGTAATATAAGCCATTAATTTAAATGTAAGCCAAATCCACAAGTGAATTGGTGATTGGGAAAACTGTGGGTTTGCTCCATTTAAGTCCTTTTCCCATTCCTAATAATTTCTTCACTTCTTTTAAATGTGTCTTTATATCTGTGTAACAGAAAAGAGCAAAAAGGAAGTAGCATTTTCAACTTGCCTCTCAAGTAAAAACACACATAAAACATCTGGTTGAGATGGTGCCCTAAAGTAATAAGTGAAAAAAAAAAAATAAAAGCAACACAGAAAAGCAGCCTTGAAAGTGCAATTCAGCCCAAGATATACTGAAAATTGAGTGCACTAAAATGTTTTTCTTAGCATTCAAAATTTGGCACAGATACTGATATATGCACAAATAAGAGCTAGAGCATAAAGCTGCTAAATGTTATGTTTAATATTTGCTTGCTTTCATTTGTACAAATCCAATGAATTAATTTTGATCTTTGAATAAGTATTTGAAATGAACATTGCATTTGAAAACCATAAAAACATTTTTCAAGCAGTCTTTTCCACTAATAGAATTAATAAACTGCCACGGCAGCTATCTTGTAGAAACCAAAGTGACGTATTATTCAACAAGATCCTGCTTTGATTTTTTCCTACTACTACTGATGGTAACTCCTCCTCATCCTCAAAGTGGTGCCTCAGGTTTTAGCTTTTCTATTTTCCAGATTCTGTACTGCTTTAGTGTGTGGGTCTGGGCTTCATATAAGGGGACAGTAATGTCTCTTCACAGACTAGGTAGACAAAACAATTCTTTCTCTAGCTGGGAACCCAAGGACAACTGATCCAGATCTCAGGCTTGAGAACATAAACAGTGGAATGAAAAGAGAAAAACAAGGATGGGACTACATGGCCTAAAGCTGTAATTGGACAATTAGCTCAAATATGCTAATGGACTAAAACTGGTAAAAGTGTGAGACCCCGATACCGGTCATCCATTCTTTTTGACCATTTTGGGTTCACGTGGGTGTAGCCCTGGCTGGGCTCTTGTACTGCCCAAGGTGGACCTATTGAGGCCTCCTAATAAATACCTACTTTATTCTTTAGCTTTGTCTAGTCTCTGTTCTAGGTCAACCTTCACAAAGCATCAAAAGGAGGTACACTAGAATAAATGAAGAAAGAACAGGACAGTGCTCTTTGTTGCCAACCATTTTAACTCAGTTTGATGGAAAACATTACTTCATAGGGATCAAGTTGCAGTTTGGACCTAGGAAGAACAGTATTTTCCATTCCACTGCACAGTCTGATTGAAACATGTATAGAAACTACATTAATTCCCACATCTGAAAATCAATGGCAGTTCATAAGGCCATGATGGGCAGCAGCTGATCTGTGGGATGGGACTTCAGAACTTCAGTAGCGTGGTGAATAATGGTTAACTGATAGTTTCCTGTCCCAATGTGTGGGAGAAACAACGAATTAGAATATTTAGCTCTGTAATGTAATGGCAGTTGAGCAAGAAAGAAACAAGTTCAAAGTTTCTGTGGGTAGTGAGGCAAATAGCAATATAACAATTAATATACCCCACAACTAGAAGTGAACTGCTATGTTTTATCCCATAAACTGGCACCTGCTCACAAGAGAACAGACTGAAACTTGCAGGTCTTCTGTTTAACCTTTTATATCCAGGTGGTAGCAGCCAGTCTTTCTTCCTTCTTCTACAACATCAGACTGTGGAACCATAACTGGACAAATCAGTAAGCTGGAAAAATCAGTAAATTTGGCAAGTCTTGCTTTGCCTTCTCATTCATTTATGGTCCTCTCACATCAGAAGGTAAGACAACACATAGCTTTGCAAAAGTGCCTACTGCTCCAGGATCTCATAACTGGATAAGGAGTAAGTTTGCCCATACTAAAACATCTAAGTGCATTTTTTCAGTAGATCTTGAGTTACCAAATCTTTTTCTTCAAAAGCCATGCCTGGCCTTTACACAGACAGATGTCTTTAGATCTACACTTCATGCAGGTAAGCATCTTCTGTAAGCAGCTCAAAGCTTTGCTCCTTCTGGCCAACTTCATTCCAAAATGATTAAAATGTCTGTAGGAAATAAACCTGAGCTGCTGATGGATCAGGTAGACAAACTATTTAAAGGATCCTTCTCTATGTGAGTGAGCACCAAGATTTTTATTTTCAGAACTACTCAGAAGAAAAACACATAAACCTTTTTTTTTAAATTTATTTTTAGACAAATCATAATGCTGATAGGTCTTAGTAAGTAATTTTCAGGCTCACAAAAGCTGAAAAAGGATTCAAGAGTCTTAAAAGCTAGTCTGAGCTCCTCCTGCCATTTTATTCCTAACAAAAAATGAGTTATTTTTATTTACTCTACACTTGGCATAGATAGATCTGTTTATTCATGAAGACAAGCAGTACATTTTTTTCCTTTGTATTTACATAAATCAAATGTTTATGTAAGAATCACTTTTGCACTCTCAAACACACTTAAAGGCTTTAGCGCTTTTATACTAAAAGCAGACATGGGGCAAAAAGAGACTTACAAATTAATTCCATAAGAAAATACTAGAATTTGTGTAAAGCTTTGTTGCAAGCTAAGAAACATGTACAAGAAATTCTTAAATGAATTATCCTTGGCATAAATTCATATTTCAATGTACAGACATATTTACAGCCTTAATATCCAAATTTATTCATTTCTAAATTCTAAGATGTTCCATGAAATGTCATCTTCCTGTAGAACTTTGTCAGGTGGCTGAAGCCCATTAATAAGACACATATGGTAAACTGCATGGAAATTTAAAGCAACTAGAATGAAGACAAACAAAACTGGTCAGACCATTCCTTCCTGACAGAACTAGCTGTTATTCCAGATTTAGTCCTTTAGCTCTTATGAGTTGTAGTTTTCCATGTTTCCATGGGTCCTTGAAACCTTCCTGTAGATTTCAAGTCACAGCACAGGTCACAAGTGCTTTCAGAGGAGGATGCAACCAGAGGTGATCACCCTAGGGGGAATCCTTCACAAGTCCAAAAGCACTTCTCACATGTTTGCTATTTCTACTGTTCAGTGGATGCCTTGTTCTGGTCAGTCTTGCTGTTCGCAGTCTGGAAATGTGGTACTGTTTCTGTCCCTTACACATGTATGATAAACCTTCTGAATTCAACACTATTTTCACTTAAGCTTTTGGCTATAGAAGTCTTAAGATGTTAATCCCCACTCCCAGGTATTTCATCCACAACTGTTTAGGTGATGCCAAACATCCATGTCACCAGAAATGCTAAGTCAAATTATGTTTCTGATCTGCAAAACAGGCTTTTCCACAACTGACCAGCTCAGTACTTGCTAAGCAGGAAGAACCAGAAAGGATGAAGACTTAAGGCGTGCATTAATTTTGGGTTTTCTCAATCTGTACCAGACAGATAAAATGAAAAAAAACTAAAAACAAACCAAAATTTTTGTCTCCTGAATGCTCAAGCACAAGCATCTCTTCCATGGCAGCTGGCCCAGGCAGCTACATAGATTGGATCAGCAGCACCCATACCCAGATCCACCATCCATACACAGTGAGCCATTTGCTTTCAGGTGCCCACAACATACACCAAGTTAGTTGGTTGGTTGGTCCACTCACTGAGTCCAGGTTATTTTCAAAAATGTTTATATTGCCTGAGAGCATTAACATAACAAAAACCATAACTGCATATTGGTTTTGGAGAGGTAAGGAAAAGTTAAACACACTTAATGCACTTGAGACACACCTATATGTCAGAGGAGTCAAGGAAAGAATGTAAAGGCACAACATACATCTACACTCCTGTCATTAAGGCCATGTGTTGGTGTGCAACAATGCTTCACAGGGCTAACCATACAGAAGTACTCAGGTCTAAGTCACAGTCTCAGAGGTGTTTCAAACAAGAGCTGTTTTCTCATGAAACTTCAGGCTCTGCTGTTTATTATGCTTTTTTTGTTTCTTTTTTTTTTTTTAATTGGCAGAATGCAGGTTGCTTATCCAGTTCCAAAGATCTGTTCTTCACCACTCTTTCTTTTAGTTCTCCAGAAGTGTGCGCTGAACTAAAAAGTGAAAAACAAGATTAGTGCAGTAAGCACAGTGCACTATGCACTTAGCATACTATGCACTTAGCACACAACGTACGTTATACATTACTATGTAACAGTTTATGCAGTCAACAACTTTCAGGAGATGTTTGACACTGTGTGATAAATTTAGGAAAGCAGAGACTTGATTCTCTGAAGCCAACAGGCTGCATAGCAAGGGATATTACACTCCAGATTTCTCACTCAAGTAACCACATCCTACTACAGACAGGGTAGCTATCTACACTTGCAGTGTTAATCCAGCACTCAGTTCAGGCTTGCAGTTCTTGCAGATGCAAACAGGCTGTTTGTACAAAAAGAAAGCTACTGAAAGTAAGCTCCTAAGTTCAGGAAGTCAAAGATAGGTTTACATAACATTTTAACAACACAGACCTATTCTGCTATGCCATTTGACCTGGCTTAATGAAGAGACTGTTTCTTACTGGAAGCCATCTAGGTGTATCTATCGCCAGAGGCAGACCTAACATCTTCTGAGTCCCAGAAGTAAGATCAGGAGCAGCACCATGATGACCATGGCTGCCTAGTCTCTGAGCTCAACACATGATCATGTGTGTCTGCAAAATGTAACAGAAGCATGAAATCTAGGACATAATATGACATCAATATGTAGGTATAAGTAAGCACATCTGATAACATCCCAGGTGTGACTTTACTGGTTAAAATAAGGTGTGCATCATCTGATGGATTTCACTTTTGAGTTGTGGTGAATTTTGGCCAGAAATTTAGCATAACCCAACTACAGCTTGTATTTTAACTGCCTTTGGTAGAGGACTTTGAATGATACTACTTGCTTTCCTAATGCACAGCTGAACTGGGGATAACTNTAACCCAACTACAGCTTGTATTTTAACTGCCTTTGGTAGAGGACTTTGAATGATACTACTTGCTTTCCTAATGCACAGCTGAACTGGGGATAACTGAGTCTATTCAGTCCTTATAGCCAATCACAAGAAAATGTTTTGTACTTGAGAGTTTCATGTATTTAATAGCTTAAACTATCATAAAGAAGATAATGAACCAGATGTAACAAACTGATTAAATACCTGAGAGAAATAAGGCACAATTACTTAATTATTAAAAACCCAGAAATAGTTCTGCAGGTTTAAGATTAAACTCACAGAAGAACATACTGGAAATATATACTGCTTTGAGATTTTAATACTCAGTATTTCAAAACCAGTCAACTTCAGCATGAGGTTACAGTGCTTCTTCCTTTGTTGACCAGTCACAAAGGCTAGAAGACCAAGTTTTCACCTATACCACTTCCTCCAGTTCTATCCATGGATTCCTGGAGCTTATCATCTGCTCCATCAGCCAAATCCCCTATACAACCATACATGGAAGATGAGGTTCTCAGTGTTTGTTGCTTTAAAAGAGATCCTTCCACAGCTCTCACCTCTGTAGAAAGATTAATTATGTGATGGTTCTTTCATATAAGAATATTCTCCGCTCACAACAGAGAATGCTTTAATTACATGCTAGTGAGTTTAGTCCTCTTTGCCTCCACTGTGGTTTTATCTCTGTCCAAATCTCACAACATTTTTAATATATATTCTTGCAGAGTTCTGTATCAGTTTATAATTAGAAAACATTTCAGATTCTAATCCGAAAAAATATACACTAATAAACTTCCAACTGCAGTTATTCATCACACTGATGGAGCAGGCCTGTGTTTTCACAATTGCCTTTAATTATATTTTTGCAGAGAAAATTCAGTTCTTCACTTTCTCTAAGCTCCTACATTTCAATGCATTCTCAAGACAATAAACCAATCTGTTTAATAAAAAAACTCGAGAAAAGGGGCCATACTGTCAGAACTGAATGCTTGATTAAGTTCTAACTTTGTTGAGATGGTAAAACCATAGACTCAGAGAACCATTTATGTTGGAAATTATTTTAGATCATCCACTTTAACTCTTACCCTAGGATTGCCAAGTCCACCACTAAACTATGTCCCTGTGTGCCATGCCTATGTATCTTCTAAATTCCTCCACAAATGACAACTCCTCTGCTTTCCTGAGGAGCTTCTGAGCAGCATGTTCTAATGCTTGACAAACCTTTTCATGAAGTAATTTTTCCAAATATCCCATCTAAACCTCCTCTGGCAAAGTTTTGAGGCCATTTCCTCTTGTCCTATCACTTGTTACCTAGGAGAAGTGACTGACACATACCTGGCTACAACCTCCTTTCAGGTGGCTGCAGAGAGTGAAAAGATGACCTGAGTCTTTTTTTTCTCCAGGCTAAACCTCTCCAACTCCCCCAGTCACTCCTCATAACACTACAGACTCTTCCCCATATCAATTACCCTTCTTGGACATGCTGCAGCACCTCAATGTCTTCATTGGAGTAAGAGGCCCAGAACTGGACTGCACTTGAGGTGTGGCTTCAGCAGAGCCAAGTACAAGGGGACAATCACAGCCCTGGTCCTGGTGGCCACACTATTGCTGATAGTAATATCAGCACTGGCCTTCTTGGCTACCAAGGCACAACATTAGCTCATATTCTGCAAAAACTGTCATTTTTTTTAACATAACAGTACAATTCATTTTCTCCAGTATGTTAGCTGTCAATAAAGTGCATTTAATAGGATCCCCAGTGAAGAGCTGATCTTCCATCTAGATTCTTATCTTACCAGGTGGCTCAGATTGTGCTCCTCTGTGGCTATCCATATTCACATTCTCTTCATCTGCTGGGAAAAACCCAGATATTTAGCATTCAAATTTTCTTATATTTTCTTGATAAATAGAGATAATTTGAGAGAAGAAACAGCAGTGAAAAAAATGGGCTACTGTTAAAGTACTTGAGTTGCCCTGTTTTGTCTGCACATTAATTTTCACATACATGGTAGAGATGTTTTGCGGTTTCCAAACTTCCCAAATTATAAAACAGTAGTGCCTGGCTGAATGATTGCTCTATCCCTTCACTAAGCAGTCAGAAAGACAAAACCAACCATCCTATCATCCACAGTACTCCCAAAATTCTCTGATCCAAGTTATATCTTATTTAGGTGGAAACGAAGCAAGCAATAGATAACTGCAAAAGAATAATTTGGAGTGGAATATTGGACTAAGTTGTTATAAAACTAGTAGAGTAGGCAAGCATCTTGTGAAGACACAAAGGCAAAATTAAAAAAATTAGAAAGTACGAAGTATTTTTCGGCATGAAAAATCTCTAATCCCAACCTTCACTTGATTCTCCTTAAAAAGTATTTTTTGCAGTCTCTCCTGCTTATTTTTAGCCAGAAAAATAAGTTTGTGGGCAAGGAATTCATCAGTCTTAGATGACTAGTGGGAAAGGTTACTCCCTGTAAACCTAACTTCACTGGGTTATTACAACTACCTTGTGCATAGGATCAATTTATAGTCCACATATAAATACAAAAATGCCTCTCTTAAGACAGTAGGAAACAAAACTAATTTGGAGCTCTTACCGCTTTGCTTGAAACAGAGTTTCTTCTTCTGGTAAGCAATGAAACTAGCTACCGATGCAACTACTGTAGCACCTACAGCACTTATAATTCCAGCTATTGCTCCCTGAGAAGCTGAAAAAAACCAGAGATGTTTATAAACATTTTTCAGAACCGAAAGCCACATCAAACTACTTTCTCAAAGTAAACACTGTGAATACTTCCAAGAAACATTACACTGAAATTACATGTAATTGTAAAAATCAACTCTGTGCACAATGAAAAGTGAATCCTTCCATTTTATAACCATTGATTTCTTAGCAATGCCCACTGTTAAAGAACTTACGCATGACTGTTTTAAGTTCCACTAATTAAAAAAGCAACTCTTTCATAGCCATATCTACTTTGCATGCAATCATTGCACCAGCATCTCTAAGACCTTAACACTTAGGAATAATTTGTAAGACAGAAATGTTAAAGCACTATGGAAGCAAAACTTAGAAGTAAGAATTCCAGACTGCACAAAAGCTTTTTAATTGTAACCCACTCCCAGTAGTGACCATTCTAGCAGAAGATTAGCAAACAGAAACCCCAAGAAAACAAACTTCATACATCTAAAACCATCATACACACATTCATGCATTTACCCTCCTCATCTTGGCCAGTTTTTGGAGTTGGACCCTTCCGTTCTGTAAAAGTGAATGGAGAGTTTACATTTTGTATGTCTAAAGAACACTCATATCATAATTGAAAAACATTTTGTCAATTAATTATGCAAAATTAAAACCCATCTATTATGACCATACAGTGCTAAACTGCCCTGAAACTTTCTGTTTTCAAAGCATGGCTCAGTGTGGTGATGAACTGTAGCCTTGAGTGATCAGCTAATAAAATTTGTGAAATCTGGTTTAATGACCCTGTGGACCACCACAGAGAACACATATAATTTCAGAGTAACATTCAGCTGTATTTCTATGGAACCAACAATCTTTTCCTAAAATCCCAGCCTCATCTACAAAATACCTTTGTAATTCTCTTCACAAGCAATCCAGAAATTCTATAAATACTAACTCTATTTGTCACTGTGCAACTCGTACCACTGGGGCAGGAACCCATGCAGATGAAACCACCACACAAGTCTCACAGATGTTTCTTGCCCCTTCCAATTTTTAAGTACTGCCCCAAAGGAACCTTAAAAGGAGGAAGCTACCCAAAAAAGTGGCATCAGTAGTCTCCATCCAGGACAACTCTCCAAAGAAGTCAGTAACCATTAGCACATCCCAAACCCCATCAAGATACTTAAACTAATTCTGATCTGGAAATAGTGAAATTGCAGTAACACACTAATTAGATATAGCAATTTACCAAAGAAATTTGGTAAGCTAGAAAATGGTTTTATACTGCTCAGAGTACAGAATCATATGGTGGTGAAGGGACCTTAGAGATCACTGAGCTTCAAACCCGCTGCCATAGGCAGGGGCACCTTCCACTAAACCAGGTTGCTCAGACTTCCATCCAACCTGGTTTGAACACTTCCACGGATGGAGCATCCACAACTTCTCACCTCCTCACCTCTCACCTGCCTCACTATCACCACTAAAGAAGTAGAAGACTAAGGATCACTTGGAAGTGTAAATATCAGTTCATCCTGTGGGACAAAGGAAATCTTTGAGAACATAAGGTGGATCCTCTTCTAGCCCACTCTGAAGCTTCCTACCTACAAGAACTAAAAGAAACTAAGAGTATGTCATAAAAGATCCAAAATAGAACTTGGATGACCTTAAAAACTATATTCATGGTGAATTTTTAAGTAAGTAACGCATTCACATTTCAGTTTTAGAAGCCATCGTTCTTAGCATACGAGTCAAAAATCACTGAAAATTTTTGCTCTAGACCAGCCCCTTAAACATGTGGGGCTTTTTTTTGATAGAGACAGAACACATTACTTTTGAACTTGAAAGTATGTTCTTAAGTTTCAGATACCAGAACCAAATGCATTACAATTACAGTGTCTAACCAGCTTGTGAGCAAGCTTTAATTAAAAGCTCAGGTAGGCATAGAAACTATAGGAAGCACAACCTGCTATCTTACCATTGCTGCCACTGCCATCACTTCCTCCTCTTGGGGAACTGCCATCCCATAGATCTGAATCATCAAATTTGTCTATAAAATAATGCAAATAACATTACCACATTTCATGTTCAGTGAATAAGACACACCAAGGTATATAATAAGATGGAAATTTTCTCAAGACCATTGAACTAAGTTTGTGGTGGTTTTAGGCTCAGTACCAGAGCCAGAACATTTAACCTTCTAAAAGCCCTCACAATGCTAAGCACTCATTCAGCTCAGCACTACAGAGTTTGACTGCAGCACTCCTTTCTCTGGACTTCCTGAACAACTGAGAGAAGTCAGTGTCCAAGAGCAGGTAGTACTGCACAAATCAGGTCAAGCAAGCAAGGAGCCCTATAAGCTGCTTAACTCTTATAGTCCAAATCTCACTGTCCTGGGACAGCAAAGAAACAATGTGGACAGAAAAGGACCATTTACTTCAAGGTTGCAACTGTGAATGATTCTTCAGAGTTGGGTCTCTAAGTCTCAAATAGTCCAAATGTACTCCCCTTCTCTGATTTATCGCAGGACATTGAAGTCGTCCCTCTCCATTTCCAATGAACCCTTCCTCATGGAGCCTTCCTGTCTTCCTCATGGCAACTTCTCCTTCCCTCTGCTGCCAAGTGAATATCTAGTTTGCACAATGCAAATCAGTTTTTCAGGCAGAAAAACTAAAAGTATGGCATCAGAGGATGTTTTAGTTGGGTGCCAAAAGCACTGAACTGAGGCATGGAAGAATCAAATTCAAGTCTCTCCTGCAAATCAGGTGAAAGAATAAGAACTGAGGCTTGCATTCCAGGGCTCTTTACCACCATGTTTGTGATTAATGGCATCATCACACCTGCATCCTTCTAAATCTGTTTTATTCTGGGTTAGGCAAAGAGAAAGGACCTCTAAAGCAGAAGAGGCAGAAAAGGACATGTATTTTAAACCTATCTTTCAAATACAAATAGTTGTATTTCTTATTGGGGCCTTTAAATAAAGTTAAAAAAAAGAAGCGACCCTTTAACTTGGAGCTTTCCCTTTAATTTGGATCCTTTAAGAATAAAGATCATAGGCAATTGCTACTTACTTTTGAGCATAACTCGAAGGGATTCAGTTTGTAAAGAAGAAATAACTCAATTCAATACCTGGGTGCTTCGCCACAGGCAGCCAAGAACAGCATTGCCCCAAGCACACACACACACTGTCCTATGCTGCCTCTTCCCCACATCATCCTATTTTTAAGAGAAAGTGACTCAACAGGTTTCTTACAGAATTTCAAGACTGGTGCAAAGCTTATTTCCAAGACAACCTTTTCTCAATCTTCAGTGTTTGATGTATGCCACACCTGACATACATAGCAGGCAATTAACAAGGATCAATTATTAGAAGTGTAACTGGGACAGTAAAACCAGGAGTTTGTGCTAGAAGCCTTACCAGAGCCTTTAGGTTGATCTTGCTTGGGGTTATCTAATCACAGAAGAGAGATTTAGG